CGATTTGAGCTTATGACCTCCTCTACACAGTTCGCATGATGTTGGTTTATACTGTTCGGATGTGAACGATTGATTTTTGAAAAAGCTTCTATTTAAATTATTGTGGCTACTGGTTTGGGGTCTATTGAAGCTTCTATTGGGGTCGCTTTGTACGTTTTTCGGTCTGACTATTTATCTACCCCTTCTGTAACTTCATTAAATTCTTTCATTTGCTGCCACAAAAGTAACGATTTTTCTGGTAATGCAGCTGTGCATATATTTACCAGAAGGGGGTCCCAATTATCTGTAGGAATATTCTGTCGATAAAACCGAAAAACAATTCGAAACCGTGGATTGAAACTTTATGAATTCTTCACTGGTTTCTTTTTGAATTTTTGGTAAATTCATTAGTRTCGTCACTTGCTTGTCGACCAATATTCTCTCGTTTTCGTAACGTGCTTTTAGAGCTTCCCAAGCAAAATTAAAATTTTCGTCATTGAGAGCGAACTGTTTAAYTATTACGCCTGCCTGACCTTTGGTTTTGTATCTGAGGTGATACAATTTTTGTGCATTAGATAATTTTGGGTGGTTGATGTAAACGGCTATGCACATGTCTCGGAAGGACGGCCATTGTTCATAACCCCCATGAAAAATTTCTGTGTCACATGCGGGCACCTTTCGTCTTTGTGGCAGCTCTACTCTCGGTTGTGGAGTAGGTGCAATTGCTCTTAATAGCTTTAGTTGATCAGAAATCATTGCCTTTGTGTCTTCGAACTGGTCTAGGCAGTGTTCATACTTGGTGTAAGCCGAGGATTTAAAGTTTTCTGGTAGATCTGAATCATCAGATTCTACGATTGCGTCATATGCAGCTTGGAGACGCGTCCAAAAATTGTCTAAATTGTCTTTTTTGATKTCTAATACCGATTCAGAATTGTCTTGAATCGGYGAAGATGAGAATCGAGYGCAGTATCGTATCAAACTATCATTCTCAGCAATGAATTTTTTATATGAAATATCTTTAAGCTTTTTTTGCTTTGTATCACCTTGCTTTGAGCGTGTAGCTTCAGCAGGTGTGCATSGGCTTTTTTCATCTGCAATCATTTTTGGAACTTTGAGTGACTGACTTGGTTTGTAGTCCTTTGAGTTTGAACTCATTTAAACAAAAAAAAAAAAAATTTTAGTAAATACATGTAAATGTTTAAGAAACTTTATATATAGAAAACTCTTTTATATGTAAGAGTTTCAAAATAAAATCAATAAAACCAACGGCTTTTAATAAGCTGAGATTTCAAAATATTTTCGTATATATGTAAGTATTTAGGTATGATTAGACGAGAACTCTTTTAGGTAAGTAAGAGTTTTGAAATGAAATAAATAATGTTGACGCCGTCCCCGCCCAATTTATTTTGCCACGTCTGTATCGGCAGAATAATATTTTCTTTTCCTCCTTTTCGAACTTGTTTGGAAGTTTTAATTCGCGCGCAACTAAACAATAACTAAAAAGTTGCGCACTCTCTCCTTTTGCGACCGCTAAGCGATACAGACGTGATAAGTGTGTTTCCAATTTATTATATTTAAATATATTTATTATAAGAAACCTTTTGTATTTTTACTTAAAATTTGTGGAATAACTTGCGTCGACTGTTTCCCCACGGCCAACCACATCTACGGAACGAACGAGCACCGTGCTCCCCCGCCCGAATTATCATTGGTCCTTCGAGCCGGATAACAGGTTACAAGTTGATTTTAATTAAAGTGAAAGTGCATAACCGATTTAGCAACTCGCAAGTTACAACCAAACATATTTTGGATTTGTGATCTGCAAGCTATAAGGCAATAGATTGGTTAATTTGTGCATAAGTTAATATGTACAAAACCTATTGTGCTGTGTGAAGTGGAGACCAAAACTTATTTTTGGCACTCTAWCCACAAAATCAACGCACAAGTCTGCAGGTAGTATTGTACTTCATTTAAGTACAACAATAAATACACCTGGCAAATGCACTGATTATTTGACTTTGCATATAAAAAGAAAAAACAAAACTACACTGTGATCCGAATAACATTATAAATTTCTTGGACGCACAAATCTCGTCTGGAGCGTCAACAATCTCTCCCGGTTTGTGTTTTCTTGTGGTTAATTTGAGTCTAGTCGCTCAACTCTGCCATTCCATATATTGCTCGAATAGCAATAAAGTCAAGCAGCAATAACGCAACTGCAGTTTTGCGAGTGCAAACAAAAAAAAAACAAAGTACAAAGTGAAGTGAGCGACGGCAAGAAAGCCAAAGAGCTAAGAAGAGCAGCAAAGCCAAGCCACACGGGCACAGCAGCAAATTGCACAGGCCAAGCAGCAAAGGGAGAACAGCAAAGGGAGAACAGCAAAGGCAAAGCAGCACAGGCCGAGCAGCAAAGGCAAAGCAGCAAATTGAGAGCAGCACAGGCAAAGCAGCAAAGGAAAGCAGCGCAGCAGCCATCCCAGAAGGACAGTGTAGTGGTGAAATCGAAATAGTTCGAAAAGAACCCAGTGAACAAAAGTGAAAGTGAATAGTGGATATACATCAAATAAGTGCTTGTGCATTTTTATTTGTATTTGTATTCGCATTTAAATAAAGCAATTAAGCACACATCAATTTTGTTTGTGTCATCCGAATACTAGGCGTGCAAGTGCATTGGGACGATTACCCAGCAAGCACTTACAAATTAAATTTGGAAAAAAATACTTTGAGAAAATACTTTACTCAATTTTTTAATTTTTTTCTTTCGAAAATTCACGCTTCATAAAGAAACAACGTACTTCCTATCATCAACTCAATTTTTAGTTTGTCCGTGAGTGCTCCTGTAACTTTTGAACTTTTTTGCAACATATTTGCAAATATTTTTAAATTTTAATTTCAAAGTTTTAGATCCGATTTTATGCAACATTTTTGCAGTTCCGGTTCAATTTTCAAAACAATGGAATCCATCAGAGCATTTATCACAGCTGCAGACGCTCTACTGGAGTTTGAGGAGTCTTTTACTCCACCAGCAAACAACCAAAGTGCCTATTCTCTTGAAGTACAACAAGTTGAACTGTGATCTCTGTGGGCAGAGGTAAAGTCAGAATACAAGTTGTGTTTGCCAAAAGTGGATCCTTCCGACACAAGCTCAATTGACGACATTAAGCTTAAATATTCAAGCTGTTACCACGCTTATGTGTGTTGCGCGGCCTTGATGGGCGAACACATGCACAACCTCACGGCGTTCAACCAAAGCCCAACTTCAAATTCTACGGTGATTCAACCTGAATGGTTACAATAAACTGTAGAACCCGTGAGGTACTCTATCAATTTACCGCCATGTGATACTGAGATATTTCATGGCGATGTTTTACAATGGCCCTCATTTAGGGATTTATTTGCCGCTATATATGGGAATAACCCAAGGCTATCTCCGGTAGAAAAGTTATTCCATTTAAATCAAAAAAACGCGAGGTGAAGCAAAAGTTATTGTTTCGAAAGCGCCACTGACAAATGACGTATTCGCATAGGCTTGGAATAATTTGCTGTGTGGGTATGAAAACAAGCGAGTGCTTGTCAACACACAACTAAATTTATTGTTCAAGCTTCCGCATATCTCAACAGAATCTGAGACCGAACTCAGAAATTTACGGCGGGAGATTAATAGCTGCATTTCAGCTTTACAAATACATGGCATGATTGTAGATAGCTGGGATGCCATATTCACGTATTTGTGTTCTATCCGACTACCGGACTATACACTGTCGCTTTGGGAACAATCTCTGGATTCGGATTCAGAGATGCCAAAATGGATTGAGTTAGACAAGTTTCTACCCAAACGGGTTAAAACGCTTGAAAGACTATCAAACCTCAAAGGCGAGTTGAGTACTCAACCCAATATTGAGTCGGCTGATGGTGAAGGTCGGATACCAACCTTGCAGTCAAGGATTGGGTCCAAACCCATCAATTCCCACCACGCTAAGAAAAACAACATTAAATGTAAACTGTGCTCATCTCAATCGCACATTTTGAAAACTTGTCAAAGATTCATTGAGATGCAGCCTAACGCACGGTTAAATGCTGTCAGAAAACTCCACGTCTGTCTAAACTGTTTATCGGACTCACATGAAGTCAAAAATTGTAAAAGTMTGTTTAATTGYWMYAAATRTAAACAGAGGCATCACTCTATGATTCACCGGAATCAGAGTGAAGAAATAGGTCAGGTATCCGATAGCACAGACACTACTGAGATTTCTCATAAATCTCATGTGGCCTCTATTAAGGCCAATATTTCAAACGTGCCTACCAGTCGAAGCATGCTCTTAGGTACAGCCATGGTGACCATATGTCACAACAAGAGCACCTTCACTGTCAGAGCCCTGATTGATTCAGGATCTGAAGCCACCTTCGTAAGCAATGGTCTGCAAAAACGCTTACATCTGGCAAGCAAAACGGTCAACACGCGAATTTCAGGATTGTATAATACCGTATCAGGACGAGTTCAATCGGTATGCTCGATTACAATTGGCTCGCCCCGCAACAAAAGTTTAAGACTAGAAGCGGAAGCATTGGTACTGCCAAAATTGACTGGACTGCTTCCATCCAAGTCAATTAATTCCTCAATTTTAAAAAGGTTACCCAATATCCCCTTAGCGGATAATAATTTCTATACGAGTCAAAAGGTTGACTTGTTGATTGGAGCGGATCTTTACCCGAAAATCATTCTAAATGGGGTAAAATCGAAAATCTTCGGATCACTTGTTGCACAACGTACAGTGTTCGGTTGGACCTTAACAGGTTCCGTTCCCTCAGAAGATGAGCAAATAAATGGCAAAGACGAGGCACAAAATTCAACAATAACGCAACAACAAACACAAAATCATTTTTGTAGTCAAAATTATACTAATTTCATATTTACACAACAGACACAACAATCGCCCCATCAACAGACTAAGCGACAACAGCAGTCGAAAAGACATTACCCACAATTATCACCACATCATCCAACAGCGCCTCAATAACAAATGCATCAACCATATCAACAGAAGTACAGCCACCAATTAATAGGCGATCCGTTTGCTACAATTTTAACGGCGACACAAGATGCACTAGCTAGTTTCCAACCAAGACCACAAAAACAACAGATTTCACAATTTTAGTCACATCCACCGCCGACGTCAACGCCCACCCAGATCCTAACGCAGACACAAACAGCGATTGAGTCACAGTTGCAACCTCAGTCGCAGACACAACCGCAGCAACAGCATCAACAACAACAACGGCAGCAGTCAACGCAGCGTGAAGAACAGCTGCCGATAACGCAGCCGTCTATGTCTGCAGCGCACATTTCGTCACCCTTGGCGTCCAGCCTAATGGTGACAGCGCAACAACAGCAACTACAGCATCAATTGCTAYAAATCCAGCAAGAGCAGCTGCATCAGCCACCACAACAGCCCCTAACACCGACATCAACACCCTCACATCATTTGGCTAACATTTTGAACTAAACAGCCAACTCGAACGGCTCTTCCACGTTGGCCGTGGTGGCTAGCGACAGCAACAACAGCAGCAGCAACAGTTCGACCAACAGAATTGCCAACAATCAGACCACTTCAGTGCATGACGGTAACATGCAAAGCTCTGACCAACGATGCCTCTCCCGCATACCACACGCCCAAGATCGAGCCAGACTCGAGTCGTCTCGCCGACTTCGGCGTGCTGGTAACATCCTTTCGGATTGGCGGCATGGCAACGATCGACAGAGACTCGATTCGTCTCAGCGACATTGCCCGGACCGAGCGGAACTCCATTCGTTCCGCCGGCCGCCCCATTCGAAGCGAAGGCGTGGACGAGACACTCGTCGTCAAGCCGATGCACGCAACACAACCTTGGCAACAAAGAATGGCGCTAT